CATGTAGTTCTATCCTATATAAAAAAGCACAAAAAATCGTGAATAGTGCAACACAGAAAATTATTTGTAAGATTCCAGATTAATGTTTCTGAAAGAATGATAATCTTTCCCCATTGAAAAGAGTCATTGCTGTAAGTCATCGTATTTTCTGGTATTGGTTTCATCTTCCTCTGTGCCTTTCATGGTAAGGAGGTTACCCACCATTTAATGTTTATAAGTAAATTCACTTCATATACAATTATATATATATATATATAACATTTCAAACTTGCAATATGCATACATTTTATCATTGGGAACTTATTGAAGAAAACTGAGATAGTGCAACTGTGGTTTTGGCAACTCCATTTTCTCTTTCCCACAAAGTGGTACTGGAGTACCTATTTTACCTACATGATAAATACATATACATATTTTTTTCTGTGCTGCTGCAAGCAATTAGCTTTACCTAATTAAGGCATTTAATCACCATTTCTATGACATAGTTGTTGAAGTTTATTAAATCCTTTTTATCTTATCTTGGAAAAGAACTTTGACAATACAATATTCCAGCTTTGATGTTTTATCGGCCCAGGCAATAGTGAAGATTGTTCTTGATTACGATAGAAAAACAAATCATGAACTTTTTTTCTTGTAATTTTGCCGGTATGAACACTTCTTTGTTAATTGCACTTTTTGATGTAAGTTTCATGGCCTCTTAGGTAATAATGTAGAGCAAGGAAGTGAGTCCTAGGCTATCTCTACTTCCTTGTGTAAAGAGATAAGAAACTCTTATTACAGCTATAATATACTCAGATTGATTTTTTTTATCGGGGTACTTAAGGATTATAGTTGGTGATATTAGATGAATTAGAGCTATTTCATTTCTTAGTCAGTATCTAGCTTTTTGATTGATTTTGGAAAAATATTCCTGCATTAGAATCATTTTTAGGGTTGGGGTATTTTATATTAAACTTTAAAAATGTGTTTCAAGTGAGCAATTTGTAGAAAATGACATAAGATTTTAAAGATTGTTTTACAGGTCTAAGCATTTTGGAATGTGATCTCTTATTATTTTCCCCCAACCAATCCTGTAGCTCACTTGCTTGAATCAGGGCAACACTCCCCAGTGCAAGCTCATTCCCCAGTGCAAGCTCATACTTGTATTTTTTTCTCAAAGAACCAAAAACTTTTTCTTCCTCTGGACTTCCACCATCATGTTTCATAAAAGAGTAATGATAGATAAATAACAAGGAGATTTATGAATAACAGATACCAATGACTTAATTGTCCTCAGAACAGGTGTGTTCCCATTTGATTTAGGAACCATCCTAGTTAAGGTATGGAAAGACTGCTGAAAAACAAGTAAATCTTCCACAAATCTGACGCATGTTTGTTTTACACTGTACCTGTATATGGGTGGTCTGGCAGAGAGGAATCACACACACGCACACACATTTCTCTCTCTCTCTCTCTCTCTCTCTCTCTCTCTCTCTCTCTCTATATATATATATATATATATATATATATATATATATAATTTCTACTGGTATGTAAACCTCTGATGATTTTTCATACTGTGAAAATGAAAGTTAAGGTCCATGTGTTGTGTTTCTTTTTTCCTTTTGAGGGCAGAGAAGGAGAGATTTGAGAGTTCCAGTTTTATTGTAACATTAAATATAATAATTATGAATATAATAAAAAAAGGAAGAGAAGATACGCAGCTAGACCCATCAGATATTATACCCACAGTGCCTGAGCAGATTTGCAGTGGTCTAAAAAGGCTTGAGTTTAGTCATATCTGATTATATTCAGCTGGGGTCCCCGCAGTGTTGGATCGATTTATGTAGAATGATAGTTTTATTGGGAACATGCCTTTTAGCAAGCTTTCCATTCCAGGCTTACAGAGCCAGCTCAGAAATCTAATTTCTCATTTCAGATTATGACATTGCCTTTCAAGACCATTAGACTTGATTCTTACTGGAGACTCTAATTATTATTTCAAGTGCGCCTGTTGATGTTTTTGATCCAGGCATATATAACTGGTAATGTCTGAACCTGTAAAAGATGGATAGATGCTGGCTTTTTATATAATTGTGAAGCTCTCAGTTAAGGTGGATTTGCCCCTGAAAATAAAAAAAAAATAAAATAAAACCATTACTGATAGTTGTATGCAATTTACCCTCTTCACTCTGCTTAATAGGAGACGTAGACAGGGGCGGATTCAGAGTTATTTTCTGACGGTCTTCCAAAGTAACTTTGTTGACCTGTCCTCCATTTTTGACCGTCTTCCAACAGAAAAAAAATCGATACCCGTCAGTGTTAGCTTGAAAATCTGACCGTCTTCTGGAAGACCCAGAAGACGGCCTAAATCCACCCCTGGTAGAAAACGTGAACTTGACTTTGACTAATTCTATTCCAGAAACCCCCAATTCACAGAATATATGTTCCTAGAATTTGCACTGGCTCGTGACAGTAAGTGCCTCATGCATGATGTCTGCAAAGCGTGCACCATATTACATAAATCTATTCTGTTGGTGCAATCAAATTATAACTATATATATTATATACAACATGTGGGTACCATTTATAGCTATTAGAGATAAAAGGGAGAATGGCTCTTCAATATGAGATTCAAAATTCCACAAAAAAAACACGTTGTAAACTACACATATTAAAATAGTAAATTCCATTTTACTTAAAAAATGGAAGTGATTGTAATTATTCTGAAATCTGTGTTTGCCATCAGACCACTTGGACCTCCCCTCCTTAATAATCTCTTAAGAGACTACTGCAAAAAAAAAAAAAAAAAAAAAAAAAAAAAAAAAAAAAAAATCACCTAACTTTGAATGTTGAAACGGATCCATTATACCATTGGAAAGTATGGGAAAATCATCATTTATCCCAGGAAAATCCATTGTTTTAGCACTTTTATTCCTTCAATATTTATATATTGAATGGGGAGGTCTCAAGCAAGGGCAATTATTTTCTGGTTATAAGCATTCGTAAAAAAAAAAAAGTCCCTAGAATGTATGTGTAGAAAAGATTTGACCACTCAGTTCTATTCTAGTTGTAATTGAAAATAATAGGATTATACAAATCGGTACATTATATCTGTTTAAGAGACTGAACGTGATGAAAAATGCATTTTATAATGTAGTACATAATGGATTTAATATTGAGCTTTATCAATAAGTAGATTTTTATGTCTGGGGGTGTACTCTTATATCTTAAACATTAGGTTAACCTTGATCCATTCACCTGAGCAGGGCATCCATAGCAAAGGTAAATTATTTTTCCATCTCTCCTCATTTGTAAGAATTTATAGTAGGTGGTGGTTGAAGTTAAGGTAAATTTTCCACTAGCTTTACGCATTAGTCGCAGTATATTACTCTGGAGTGTGCATCCATGAAATATCTTGTTCTTGTGAGGTCTCTAAACTATCCTTTCATCTTTTCTGGAATAATTTATTATTTTTCTCATGGCTCTCCCTCTCTCTTTATATATATATCGCTATCTGTGCATTTGGTTTGAGGAATCTGGATTTATCTGTAGCAGATGTGCTGGCTGCATGGTTTGGTTGTATTTAGATATCTCTGGGGCTGCTGGGATGGTTGTAGGATATCTGCAGCTGTGGATGTGTGATGGAACGACTTTGCAACTTTGAGATAGAGAGATGGAAAGAGAAAGAGAAAAAAGTGCCCGTGTGTTAGAGAGAAAGAGAGAGGGTCAAGGACTTTGTGTGTGTGTGTGTGTGTGTGTGTGTGTGTGTGTGTGTGTGTAAAAGAGAGAGAGAGAGAAAGAGAGAAAAATGGGCTTGTATACATTGTGTTTATGCATGTGTTCATGCATAACATATGAGTGTATGTGTGTGTTAATGTGAGATTGCAGGTATATGTGTGTGCATAAATGTCAGTATATGTATGCAGGTCCGTAGCCAGCAATTTCAGAGGGGGGAGTTCGTTTTCTGAAAAAGTGGACCTTTTACCATAAAATCCTCAAGTACATAGATCAAATTTTACACAGAGTGGACCTTTTCCCAGCAAAAAGGGTGTGCATGTGCAAACTTTAATGACATATATCTAATAAATTGTTCCTTCCCTTAGCCTAAGATATACATGCAATAAAGTGTTTTATCAAAAAATGGACTATATTATAGTCCTAATGTTTCAGGACATCAGCAAAACAATAGCATTTCATCCAGAAGGATGTGACAGGTTGCTGCCTACTGAATAGAGGGCAATCAATAAAGGTATGAAATAATGTTACAAGTGAGAAATTAGAAATTTTAGAAGCGTGTTGTGTGCGTCAGCATTAATCACGGAAGATGGTCGAGCTGGAAATTGCGCTGATGTACACCTGGTGCTTGTGTATATGTGATATCGCTGGAGGCTTTTGTTTTTAATGACTTGGTGTACATGTAGCGTAGGAAGAGAGGGAGGGTCAGAAGTGGGCGCTGCCTATTTTTGAGATGTTAGATCAGGCCCGTAGCCAACGATTTTAAAAGGGGGGTTCTTTTTCTGAAAAAGTGGACCTTTTACCATGAAACCTTCTTTTACCTAGATAAAATTTTACCCAGAGGAGACCTTTTCCCAGCAAAAAAAGGAGGGGGGGGGGGTCTTTTGACCCCCTCGAACCCACCTGGCTATGGGCCTGCTGATATGCTATATTTTGATGTTATTTTATTTGAGTGCTGAATTATACAAAATTATATTGATGATGTTACAGGTGATCCATACAATCCCTTCAGATACTAGAAAATTTTCATTATTATATTTATTTAAATTCCATGTGGAGTGCAATATTTTTTGGTATAGCAATTTATTATTAGAAACATTGATTTTATGTTGTCTTATGTAGTTTTAAATTATTTGAAATTAAACTTTTTTTTTTTGGGGGGGGGGAGTATAAGATCAACTTGATAACAGTACTTAAGTTATCAAATTTAAATCAGTTGATGTAAATGTATTTGTTTTTAGATTACATATATATTATCATTATAAAAGTAGAAACCAGATCCTAATGATTTTTGAACGAGTGTACACAAAATCCAAGAAAAAATTCCAAGATAGAAGATAAATAAACAGATACTGTAGAACAGCAGTAGCTTCATGTTTGGACAAATTACAGGATACCCCACCTTAGGGTGTGTTTAGAGCATTGATCGCCTTCTCACCTGTAGTTGTTAAACTACTGCAGCTGAAGTCTACCTGTGGCCACACCTTTCAGAAACAGCAGGTGAAAGTTAAAACAGAATTCACCTCCAGAATGATGGTTCGCAACCGTAACAGCCGGCCTCTGGGTCAGTAGTAGAAATTGGTCAATGTTTGTCTGTTGTAGCCACAGGATTCTTCTTATGGTTATTTAAACAGAGCATTTAAATTTTGATTTAAATTGTATAGAACAAATAAATATAGAATAAAATAATGGCATTTCCCTTTTTTGTATGTCAGTCTGTTAAAGCAATCTCTCTCTCTCTCTCTCTCTCTCTCTCTCTGTTTCTCTCTCTCTCTTTGTTTCTGTCCAACTGTCTGCCTGCCTGCCTGTTACTCATGCAGTCAGTCACTGATTCTACTTTGTGTAGTATACTAGTTTGTCCATATCTCTGTCTGTGCATCTGCCTTTTATGACAATCTACCCACAATCCTTAAAATGCACCTGACATTACTGGCATATATCTGAAAAAAAAACAAAAAAAAACGTACCACAAATTGCTACCAGAAATCTGCCAAACGAGTAAAAAGTTTTGACAGATTTAGTGCAAGTAAGATGTTTTCCCTTTACATCACTGCCCCTTGTCTGTTCCCATGTTATCCTGTCATTGTCATCAGCTGCCGTGATCCTTAACGATTGAACTTGGATATAAAAACTTATATATTAGAACTCATATCATAACCCATTTGCAAGAGAAAATAATGCACCTCGTGAAATGACCATATTCAATCAGAAGAATTAGTTTCACTAATTTTATTTTGAATTATATATAAATTGAGAAGTTGCTTTGGGAATCACAAAGTGGTTTCAACTTCACTAAATGCCCTAGCTGTACTGAAGAAGTATTTATAACATGTGATCATTATCCTATACCTGACTCATTAATGTTTTTAATTAAGCACACATATCCTGTTGGCCTTACAGGAACCGTACCAATTATTGCAAAATGAAAGAGGGCACTCAACCTCAAGGCAATGCACCAATTCTATTACATATTGGTTCTATAGCTCCAAAAAAGCTGACTTTCTTATCAATCCATGCTGTGAAGTTGGTTTAGCCTGTTGATCCTGTTGATCCTCACCTCAAGACCCATAGCAGTGATGTAATTATAAAGTAACAGCTTCTCTCTTAGAATCCTGACAGGTGAAGTAAGTGTTCTGACAGTTATGTCTCTTCAACAAGTCATGTAAAAACTAGCACATGCATGTGTTTTCTTTTTGGTGATAGATACATGTACATGTTTGTTACTACACATTTGTAGTAAAACCCAGCAAGAATGACTCCATTTATTATTGTAATGGGCACATATTCCAATATTTTTAAAAAGAAAAATTAATTGTTGAGGAAGCCCCACCACCAAAATACCTTGTTTCTAAAGCCAACAAGGGGCGAATTAAGACTGTATATCTTTTATAAGCAAAATATCAGGCCTGCTGCAAATTCACAGCAAAGTTGTTGCTAATTTGCTGCAAACTGCAATTTCTTCTTGCAAATTTGCTGCAATATAGCTGCAAATTAGCAGCAATAAATTTTTTTTCTTGCAATTTTGTTGCTGCAACATAGCTGCAAACTTTTCATTTTGCTAAGGGATATATATTTATACAAGCACTGTAGTATTCTTTCAAAAAGTACTTGGTACCTAGCTGTTTTCTGTAACACCATATAACCAGTGTCAGGTATGATATATTTTCCCAGATGATACTTTTTGACATAACTTATTCTAAGTGCATCGGTAAGATTGACAGGCAAGAGCCCCTGTGTGTACGAATCCGTATACAGTGTATATTTGATCTGTACATCCCTAATAGCAAGGGGTTCACTTAAGACTCTACTAGTACCTGTCCTCTTGTAAACGATCTTAAACATTGTTTTGAAAATCATGTACTTAACTCGCTATTTTTGTACACAAACGATGCTTGGTTGCCTCATTTTCAGTTACGTTAAATGTGAACTTAAATGTCGGTTTGAAAAGCATGTGTTTTAGTGTTAATTCACATACACAAACATATCAAGGGTTTTTGTACCTGAACAGTTTGACTTCTCTTTCAACATACGCATGTAAGATATACCCACTTGAAAGCATGCGTAAACTTTAGTTTTGTGTTTTAAATGTGTTTTAACTCCTCTTTCTCACCAGGTCGGGACAAGCAGATGGTGTCTGTGGGCTTTATCTTTACTTATATCTAGGATAAACATCCAGAGATGCCATTAGGATAGGAGGCTATTTAAAAGAAGTATGTACTTGGAATTTTTTTGGAGCTGTGTGTGTGTATTGGTGTTTCATTAGTATCCCTGTCCACTTTAAACTAACATTCACTGTTGATTGAATTCTTCCTCTGTTTTCTAACTATTTCCTTCCATTTTATTTCCAGTACACAGAATGAGAGAGTTTCTGGGTAAATTTACCTTAGATGTCTTATCAGATGACTGAAGTACTTTTAACCAAATACCAGTTCTTTCCCAGCTCCACACCTGCAGTCATTTGAATTGCTGCCTATAGCTATAAGGCCCCATTCAGAATAGGGGACTAACTAGTCTGAGGGTCAAATATGGTCAACCTACTACAAAGCTTGCCATCTAATCCGCTAATAAACACTGGATAGTTATCCCTTGGGGGAGTATTCAAGTGGGTCAGCCATATTTGACCCTCGGACTAGTTAGTCCCCCATTCTGAAGGAGGCCTGGATATCTGATGATACTTGTTGTTATCATTGCTTTTGTCATTTTGCAGTTTGCTAAAATACTATTGATAATTTAAATCTATATACTCAAACTAAACTTGAATTATCAGATTTACTGCGTGTTCTCCATTTCCACTTAGATAAAAACAAACTCAGTACCATCAAAGGAATAGATTAAGAAAATGGCTCTCTTGCAGAGCCGGGTCAAAGGGGTGCATTATAGAAACTTTATATGTTAATATTGGTAATTTGTTACCTATGTGTTTACAACCTTCATTTTGAATTTGGATAACAGCTTGTGTTTTGTTTAAGATTTTTGCAAGCAAGATTTTATCCTTTGCAAAGACAGAAAAATGCCACACAAAAATTTGATAAAGTATAGGTAGCAGAAATACTGTAGTTTTCATCTTAGACTTAATCATTTCCTTCATGATCAATATTTTCACAAACAGGTAGTTTGAATGTTAGATCTCATCGACATTGAGGATATGTGAACTTCTGGAACCTTTCTTGAACTTCAGCGAACTTCCTGATTTATTTCTGATATTATCCATAATGGAAATAACATGCATAGGTAGTCCTCTGGAAAGAAGTTAAATTATAGTAAATATGAATACTAAATGCTAATGGGCATAACACTTACATGTAGCCACTTGTTATAGTATTAGGTTGTATACGTGAAGCAGGATGGTTTCTCCATACATAGTATATCCTTAATTAGGGACGTTATGAATTTATTTTAATATTTAAGTCTGATATCAGTGGTGGGTCGGGGGAAATAAATTTATTGTTATGTCTCTTGGCAATTTATTCACTTTGAAGCACATAAGAGTGCCTTCAGTTAGAGTGAATCTACTCATGATACTTGGGGAAGGTTAAGTATAGAAGTATCTGATGATGCAGTTCTTGTTACCATGAATCATTTGTTATCACTTTGAATCCTGTGTTGTCAAGAAAATCCTGTTTTATTATTCTGAATCCTGTTATCTTTTTTGACCCTGCATTATCACCTAAATCTGGTGTTTTTACCGTAAATCCTATGTTATCGCCATTAATCCTATGTTATCACCTTCAATCCTACATTATCACCATCAATCCTACATTATCACCATCAATCCTATGTTATGACCTTGAATCCTATGTTATCGCCATGAATCCTATGTTATCACCATCAGTCCTTTATTATCACTTTGAATCCTACATTATCATCGTCAATCCTGTCTTATCACTTTAAAGCCTACATTATCACCATCAATCCTGTGTTATCACTTTGAATCCTACATTATCATTGTCAATCCTGTGTTATCACTTTAAAGCCTACATTATCACCATCAATCCTGTCATCACCTTAAATCAT